CTTCTGGGACCTTCAATGGATGCAACGCTCCTTCTTCCTTTGCTTCAGCATCTGCTTCCTCCATCTCCAGCTCCTTGGCCTTTTCAAGGTACAGGCACATGACACAACACAACAACTTCACTTTGAGGCAGCACCAAAGCACAAAAAGGTTTTTTTTAACTTGTGCACACTCACACAACAGGTTCCACTTCTACAGCCATTACTTGCAGCCAGGCTACACCATTGTCCTGAGTACCTGCAGCACAGGCCAAGGTATTGTGTGTGTTGGTGTGTGGTGTTTGTAGGATGATTTTTCTCACTTGGTGTGTTTATTCAAATGACTCAGTATGACTTTGTGATCCAGCCCTTGGCTTGAAGTGGTGTTAGGAGAGAGAGAGGCACCTTCTTCTTGGCTTAGGTTCAAGATGAGCAAGGTGTGGTACTACATGCCTCTCAGGTGGAACAAGTGGAGCATGGCTTGGTGTGTCAGCTTGCCCATTGACCATGTGCATTGAAAGCTGCACATCTTCAATTGTTGAATGACTTGGAGGATTGAGGACTGCTGGCCTACTGACCTTTGATGAGGACTATGAGAGCAGCAGTGGCAGTGATGATGATGAGAGCAATGAGGACTTAGGCTTGGGCTGGCAGCATCAACAACAACCAGAGCAGTAGCAGTGATACCAGCACCAGTGAGGATGATGCTGGGAAGAACAGCAGTGGTGATGACTACTATCTCAAGCAACCAGTACACCATTTCTTTATTTTTATTACCATTCCTGTTTCTAATCTTGCAGAGATACAGAGAACACAAATATGATGAGGACCAGAGCGGCAGTGACAATGAGGACCAGAGTGGCGGCAATGATGAGGACCAGAGTGGTGGCAATGACAAGGAGCAGCAGCAACAACAAGGACCAGAGTGGCAGCAACAATGAGGACCAGAGTGGCAGTGATGATGAGGACCAGAGTGGTGGTGACTATGAGGATGATTGAGCAGTTTGGTTGCACACAGATGTTGAAACACGAGCGAGCAGGATTGGGGCGCCGTGGGCGCAGGCGGCACCGCGCTCCCCTCCCCATTGGCGCCAACCTACACTTTTGTTGTTATTAACCTTGTACTGGTGCTCCAACAAATAAAAGCCCAATCCCCTTTGGTGTAACAGTAGCTCATCCCAGTTGTAACAACTCCGATTGCTTCAGGCAAACAAGCTGTCCTCTTCTTTTTCTGGGGTTGTCTCTTTCTTCTTACACTCCCCATATAACCTCATAGCCCGCCCTCATGTCCCACGACCTTGGATCGACCTCTCTGATCTTACTACGCGTGCTGCTTTCCTATTCGTTCTTCTCGTCGCTCCTCGCTTTCGTTCTTCTCTTTTTCTCTTCCGGCGGAGTTGTTGTCATTGATGCCCAGACGCCACTGGGCTCCGCCCACCCCTTCGAGTGCTGGGGCACCGTCCCCTCCGGACGGCCCTCCAACTCCACCGCCTTCATCCAGCTGGCCCTGGGGAACCAACACATGTGCGGCCTGACCGTCGCCAACACCGTCCAGTGCTGGGGTCAAAACGACGCGGGCCAGCGGAACATTGACGCGCCGGGCCTCGAGTTCGCCTGGATCACGGCCGGGTCCAGCGTCTCCTGCGGCCTCTTCTTGCCCAACCGCACCGCCCGTTGCTATGGCTCCAACCTCAACAATCGCACGATCGTGCCCACCCACGCACCCTTAGCCGCGCTGGCCATGCGCCAGGACTTTGGCTGCGCAATGGAGCCCAACGGGGCCATCACCTGCTGGGGCAACAACGCCTACAACCAGGTCTCGGCCAGTCCCGGCGGCAGCGGGTTCACCCAGCTGGCCGTGGGCGCCGACCACGCCTGCGCCCTGGTCAGCGCCACGGGCGTCACTCAGTGCTGGGGCAGCGCAGACAAGGGCCAGACCACCCCGCCAGCCGGGGTGACCTTCAAGGCCCTGTGCTCCGGCGCGAGCTTCTCGTGCGGCCTCGACGTCTCGACTGGCTTCCCCCGGTGCTGGGGCTTCTCGGACTTCTACTCCGGCACACCCAACACGACCGGTTTCGCAACGATCGCGTGCGGCTCGTCGCACGTGTGCGGCGTCAAGATCTACGACGGCTCGACGCAGTGCTGGGGCAGCGTTCTGTCGGGTAATGCCAGGAACCCGCCGGCGCGCCACATTTACGCGCAGCTCTACGCGGCCAACGACTACTCGTGCGGTTTCTACGCACCCGAGGCGTCGGCACCCCCGGCATCGCCAATGGCCACTGTGCCGGCGTTGCCGGGGGTGTCGCCGCTGGCGGCCAACGCGAGTGCGAGCTTTGGCGAGTCGGAGCCCACCGTCGACCTCTCCGCGCCCACTGCGTCGTCGTCCGTCGCGGTCAGGTCGAGCCTGCAGCTGGTCCAGGTGGGCAACACCACAGTCCCAGGTTCGACGCTTTCTCCTCCTGTGTGTGTGTGTGTGTGTGTGTCATGCATGATGTAAATCGTGTGTGCCGTCGTGTACGTCACATATGCAACGTGTGTGTGTGTGTGTGCTGTGCGTGGGTGTCGTATGAGGCTCACACTGTTGTGTTCGGTGTGATGCAGATGCCATGTGGGTCGCCAGCAACGCCACCAGCGGCAACAGCGGAGTGGGCAGGAGGTACGAGGCGCAGCTCGGTGCCGACACCAACGCCACGCAGGTGTTCGCATTCAGCGCCAACTCGTCAGCCGCGAGCTTCTCCGGCCTGGAGTTCGTCATCGCGCCCGGCTCGGTCAAGTGGTCGCTCAACTTCACCTCCAACGTCGACGCCGCGAAGGGCATCACGCTGCGCTATCGACTCTCCGATCTCTCCAACTCCAGCGCCACCGGCCCGGCGGGCCAGCTGGCCGTGGTGCGGCGCTCGGACAACACGCCTCGGGCCAACATGACCTCATACTACCTCGCCGTGCCGTCATCGTCAACATCGGCCGGGGCGGTGGTGATGGTGGTGGAGGTGTTCGACGTGGCCCTCGTCGACGACGCGGCCTTCGAGCCGATCGCCCACGCCGTCGATGTGGTAAGAGGCAGCAACGGTGACCACTATGAGCTGGTGCTGGCCTTCCCGGCCTTCAACCGATCGCTGTTCTACGACCCGAGCATCGGGCTGGGCGTGCTGCTGGGCTCGTCGGGGGGGACGCGATGGCGGCAGCGGCGGCGGGGGCGACGACGTGGGTCTCATTGTGGGCGTAGTGGTGGCCGTCGGTGTTGCGGCGGTGGTCGTGGTGGCGGTGATAGTGGCCGGTGTGGCCATTGCCGTATGGCGCAAGAGGCGCGACTTGCACTCGGGCATGGTCAACTTCAACGTCAGGGCCGACGACAGCCAGTTGTGAACAGAGACAGAGTTGTGGAGGAAAAAGGCGCTTACACTCCTTCTCGATG